GGCGAGAATATTGTATAATTTTATTGATTGGAAAGCTATAAGGACTTGCCTCGATCTTTTCTTTCTTAGCAACAGAATCCCAATCTTTGGTTTTGATACCCATCTTCCAATCAAGATTGACTATAGCAGAGCTATTGAATGTGTAATGTGTTTGATCGTGATGCATCGATAAACAAGCAAAATATGCTCCACTCTCGCTCGATGTAAACGCAAACTGACCATGCGACACGTTTGCCTTCTTGTATAGCTCCTTCCCGTACGGTGATGTTACCTACATTTCACCCAGTACGCATGAACACACATTTTACAATTGATCAGTCCACTTTCGAATAGTAAAGTTATATATATCATTTCTACACCAACGCCTTAGATTTTCAATCTCGCTAATCACCACATATAGATTTTTACCTGTTTCAGTCTTAAAACGGCATAAATTTGACAAACTTAATTAACATGATCACACTAAAAGATTAAAAATCAAAGACCCGAAATTTGTTGGTAGCTAGGAAAAAAATGGTTAATCCTATCTAGTGATTAAGGACTATTTGGTTTTTTCATTGTTTTCAAATCTATCACTAGTTCAATATTGATTTTCGAGCTCAACTTTGAACATATCGTTTATCTAAACCTAATTAATTGTCATAAACACTAGTGATGTCCATAAACCAATAAATTTAACCATTCCTAACAAGAAATTCCCGGAATCAATCTCCAATCCGAAAGTGAATATTACATGTTCTGCTAGAAACCCCTTTATACTTATAGGCAGCACAAAAAAACAAAAACAAAATCCCTATAGAAATGAGTGCGTTACATATAAGCATGAAAAGTTTACGCATAAGATGAAGTTAATAATAATGATGGTATAGATACATACCCGAACATCTATTGTAGGACCAAGTCCCACGTTTTCCTGATCGATACAAAGGTAATCGGCGACAACGACCACGTTGGCTTGAATATCTTCGTAGACGCATCTCTCGCCGGAAGTTGGAACCGTTAACCATATCGCCTCCACCACCGGAAAAAGAGAGCCAGCGCCTAAGAGGCAAATCAAACCAATGCAGAGTACCGGAGAGATCGCCATTGTTT